TAGGGTTTCCTAAGGTTTTCCTAACTCTTATTATAAATAGTGGGACAGGCTAACACAATTGTTAAGCCTTCTAATTCTTTTACTTTAACAGACATTAAGTCATCTAATGGGTCTAATTTTTGTTGTAATAACGTGGAAGTAGAAGCATTAGCTTACTTGGAGAAATTTGACAAAGGAAAGAGGAAGGGGGTCCTGACCTTGGGCCATAGTTATAAAAGTCGACCCGAGACAATAACATGGGCAATTAAGTTGGTTATAGGGTCATTGGTTCAACCAAACCGATCCGATACGACATGTGAATTTTGGTTTTCCCTAATTATTTTTAAATATATGATGAAACAATAACAACAATTACATTCAAAAATAGTAAATATCATTTACTTTTCACAACCAAAAAACTCACTAAACATCAAGTTTTTAATGAAACACCATTTTATTGCTCAAAACGGTATACTTATAATAATTAACTCAACAACTATACTAGCGCCCAACAATTTTAATTTCTATAATCACAAGAATACGTTGCCCCTAATTTTAACTTCTACAATCACGATAATAGAGTTTCTGTTTTATACTTACTATGTTCCATTCTTAAACTAGTGTAGAGATCAAAGATAGACAATAGAAAACTTGTCAATGAAAAAAGACACAGGAGAGCTAAAGAAAAGAGGTGGAGATATGGAGATTATCACAATAAAGAAAAAATCGAAAACGTAAGAGACCTTATAGTAGGAAATGAGATGTTTTGTTTGGTAAAAATACATTCTTCAACTCTATATGCAATTTTGAGTTTAAGAGATATGTATTTAAAAATTAAAATTATTGATGAACCCATTTAACCGCTAATTTTGGGTCGCCCGGCCTTAACTGGTTCATCCTGGTTTTTTGTGTCAATATCTTGTTTGTTAATATACAGAACTGACTTGTTAACTTGCATTTTTTAGCTTTTATTTTCACTACTATTAGTTGTATTTCAGTTATGATTAATATTTAATTTTGTCGAGTGCATTAGTCTTGATCAATGTTGTAGGAATTTTGCTTTTGTACCTCTTCTAAACTTAATTGAAGACTTGGTCATTTTTGCTTATCAATAAAGAATGTGGAGTCTTAATCTAAGAAGTATCGATACTTGTAAACTCGTTACGTATCCAAGCTTCGAAACTCTCCCATACTCTTCGATACATACCAGATACTCATTTTTTAATTATTTTATATATTTTTGTAATTTTTAAATATCCGATACGTATTTTTGAATTATTTTATATTTTTTGTATAATTTTCGATCCATATCCGATACGTATCCGATATGTATTTATTAAATTTATTTTAATAACTTATTGAATATTTATTGAAATTACACAATTAGAGTTTTAAAATTAACAACTAGACTTTTTATTGGAAATGTACAATATGATTAATCTTTCAATACACGTGAAACCATGTTATAGTTACAAATATATTTTTATTATTGAAAATAGATAATGATTAATATGTAAAACTGTGCTAATAAAGTGCTTTAGTATTTTATTTTATTTTTATTATCATGCTTCTGTATTAATATTTTTTTTATATTAATGAATTTATGTTGAATTTTATAAAACGTATCGTTGTATCCTAATTTTTTCAAAAAAGTCGTATCGACGTATTCGTATTGTATCCGAATTACGTATCTCTATCCGTGCTTCTTAGGTCTTAACCACTTTTGTTGATCCAAACTCGGAAATCTTTGTGAATCAACTAGTTAGCATTTGTGTTTCTCTGTTGTCACGTTTTCCACTGCACAATTTTCATATTCATCTTAATCTTATCATGGAGCATATCAAACTGCATTTCTGTTTTGCAAAATTGTCATTATGTATTTTGTATTTGTTGAGGAGCCTAGGAACTAACTCATTGCATGTTTATAATGACTTATGTGTTTTAGCTATTATCGCTACTTGTCCTTTGCAAATTGCAGTGCATATGATATTCTATCTCCTGGGGGAAAAACTATTATTTGTTTTTATGTAGAAAAAAAAATGAAAACCTTCTCGGGTTGACCATCAGTATCAATGACATTGAAAAAGTTAGAATGCTAAGACACTTACTCGTCTTTGATTTTTGCAGTGCATATTCTGTCTTCAATGAAGATTTTAGAGAAATTCCTGGAACTCTCAATGCAGATCGGCTTGACAGAGACATTCGAGCTGGCCAGTTTTGAATCTGTCAACTTACAGCTTGTACGAAATTTGGAGCAATCCTTGGCTTGAAGATAATTGGACAATGCACAATATATGTATGTGTGTGTATATTTGTGTCTTGGTTAATATGAGAGTGTTTTTTGGTTTTATGATGAAAATTTCTGTTAGTCTAGACTAGAAGTTAGAGTCCTCGTTTGGATCTTGATGGGATCCGAGCTTCACAAAGCTTTATGCTGTTGGGGACCTTTGCAAGGTTCATAGTCTTTGGAGTATTGTGGAATTATATTCTGCACTGAGGATCTGTGCTTGTGGGACAATAACTAACCGTTTTTGAAAGATCCTTATGGTTGTTTGACTAATATTTGTTGGAATTCAACATGGAGGGACCACTCACCCTATAAACGTAGTGGTTTAACTACACACCACTCTTAAGAGCACTTGTGACTCGAAAAAAAATGTTTCAATCTAATTCTCTCTTCCTATTGAACAAATTTTGAAACTATTTGGGCATTCTCAACGAATCAATCTAAGTTGATGAACGCTTCGTCTACATAGAATCTTGGTATTCGTGCATTCTCGACAAATCAAGCAATGTTTATGAGAGCTTTTAGTCTATATAGAACCTTAGTCTTTGAATTCTGCATTATCAAGAATTAGTCAACTTGCCTAGTGCATATTTAATAAAAGGACATGACACTCGTTTTGCACGACTAAATAGCGTTACTTACACAATTTTAAGTGAAATATATATTTCCATCTGACTTAAAAGAATGTAGAATAGGTAGAAAATTTTCATATAATAAATTAAGCTTCATTATAATTTAGAATTGAATTCGCAATAATATTTCATGTAAGAAGTTAATAAATAATCGAAAGATTTAACTAAGCGTCAAAAAAGGAGTAGCGTTGAATCTTATTGGCAGCAAATTCTCTCAGGTTTGTAGAGACTCCAAACTTCTCGAATTACCTTGATATTCTTGAATTTGAACATGCATATCATTTATTCATTCAAGACTCTTGATCCAGATTCTATATGATAAATAATGAAAATTACACGCCCCCAGGGCACATCTCCAAGTGGTAACAGGAGAACATGGAAAAACTCCAGATTTACTTGAGGTTGTCGCGTCAAGGGTTCGAATCCTGAAATATGGATTTGACTCTTGGATAAGTGCAAGTGTACAAGCAGACTTCCACCCTATATCCTGGAGGCATAACCTGCGATTTACCTCATTCACCAAAACTCAGGACAGGGCAGGTGGGGGCCATCAAAGATGCGGCTCATCATTTTTTTTAAAAAAAAAAATGAAAATTACACAGATAATCTCCATTTCTTTTGAAATTTGGAAGTTACTTTTCATTCCTTTTTTATTCTCTAAACACTGCTTTTTATTTTCCCAACACACAAAAACACAATACCGTACAAATAGGCATTAATGATCAAACAAACACAGTAAACCCCACCACCACCACCACGAACTCTAACTATAATTTTCTCTCTTTTACCAACCCATCATTGGATATGAGTTCCCAAAGTTAAAACCCCATTTCGTTAAAGTTGGATTTATCCGTCCCAACCCACCACCACCATGGCCGCCGCCGCCGCCACCACTACCAACATGGACACTCTATGCTACACCACCGCTGCTGCTACAACTATCGTCACAGCATAGCTACCACCTACTATTCCTTCTACCTCCCTGTTGCTACCAACCCATTTTATAACTGATACATGATAATAGTCAGTAGCTTGTTAGCATTTGCAAGAATATTAGTGTTCTGCTTCGGGTGAGAACAAACCGCAAGACAATGTTTTGAACAAATTGTTAAATGAAATTTTATCGATCACTGGAGCTTATTTATAGTCTTAATCTTAACCACCTACTCCGGTACACAATCGAGAATAAAGGCTCCTAATGCAACTAACAGAAAATAAGATAATATAAAGGGGATAATTGCAGCAAAAGTCCCAAACCTTTGAAACATTAGCAGACTTTTCTCAAATCTTTGATTTGTTGCAACCGTCACCCCTAACCTTTCCAAATGTTGTATGTGAAGCCATTTTGAACAGTTTTCATCCATAATTCTATCTATTGACCAAAAATTAAAATTTGACCATATTTTTAATATTTTTAAAAGGGACAAAACAGTAACTTTCCATTTATCACATTAAATAATTTGGTCAATTGACAGAATTATGGATGGAAACTGTCTAAAATGACTTCACCTACAACATTTTGGAAATGTTAGGAGTGATAATTGCAACAAATCAAATGTTTGAGAAAAGTCAGCTAATGTTTCAAAGGTTTAGGGCTTTTGCTGCAATTATCCCTAATATAAATGTAAAAAAAAAAAAAAACAGAGTAACTACAAGTCATCCAACGGCTAGTTGGTAAACCTACTCCTATTCGTTGGTAACAGTTGCTCCACTTCTTACTCTTACTCTTCATCCTGCAAACTTGGGATTTGATTTTGGTACTCTTGCCGACTTTCATGGCTCATCAATATCCCTTCCACAAAGTGGACCCTTGTCTACAAGGGTCATGTATAGAAACTTTTGTCGTAACATTGCAGTGTCCTGCCACTTCATATGAAAGGCATTCCCATTTTACTAGGCTCTCCTTCGTAAACTTCTACCTTGCTTCTGATAGTCCAAGAATGACTAACCATGACATGGGTGAATTGGTTTTTTCAACTTTTTCGAAAAATAAACTTAAATTAAGCAAGTTAAGAACACGTTGATCAATTAATAATCATAAGCAAATAAAAACAAGTAGATCAATCAAATAATAAATATAAATGAAATAACGATAAGCAAAATGGTAGAGAGAATGCAAACGACATAATTGTTGAGGTTCGATCCAAAGTAATGATCTACGTCTTCCATTATCAAGCTCTCTGATACGAATAAGACAATTTCACTATATTGATCGACTTGTGGTGCAATCCACCCCTTACAATGCTCTCGGTAACTTACAAATAAGAAGTACTGATCCTTATACAATATTGAACTTTATGAGACCTCAATATGACTCATACAGTGACTTACAACAAGGAGTATTGATCCTTATACTATTAAGTTTCTACGAAACCTCAATATGACCCACAAGTTTAGAACAATAATTTTATAATGAAATTTAATGAATATAATGATTTTCAAGTTTGATTCAATCAATCAAATTTTTTATATAAAGAAGTAGAAAAATTAGATGTAATGTAAGTTCAATGATTTTTTTTTCAAAATATATCTCTTTTTTATGAATGATAGAAATAAGTTAAGTACAAAAAGAGAGATGAAAATTTTGATGAAGATTATGATTAAAGAGTTTGAATCAATCAAAATTTTTTAAATGAAGAAATGAATGCAATGTAAGCTCAAAGAATTCTCTCAAAATATATCTTATTTTGATACTCTTGAAAGTCTTAGAAGAATGGAAAGAGTAAGAATATTTATAGAGTTCAAAATGCAAAATTTTCTGAAAGTTCGGCCGAAATACCAATATAGCCGTTATGCAACAAAAAGTTGAAACGGTCAAATTTTAGACTATTGTACCTTTCCTGTTGACCGCCACTCCCAACCAGTCGACCGCAAGTTGATTGACCATTGTTTAGGCCGATTTTCACGTTTTTGTCTTGTTTGACACAATTTGAATGTTTTGACAAGTGTACACTTTTGGAAAGTATTTTTAACTAACTTTTTAAGCAAAAAAATATTTTTCAAGTTCAAATATCATATTAAAAAATCATTTTTATATTTGATCAAAACATTTTATCACAATAACTTTTAGTGCATAAAATAGCTTTTAATACATAGAAAGTTTTTTAGCTTAAAACATTCATTGCTAAATATCAAAGTATTAATACCTTTACATTTGATCTAAAAAGGCCTAGTTCTTGATATTTCTTTGGCTCTTGTCTTGAAAAATCTTGTCTTGAATGCTTGGAAGACTTTGACTTCGATCTTGGCCTCTTTGTGAATCCGATTTGTGATGATAGCCAAAATCTTTTGACGATCATCGATCAACTTTACATCGAATGCTTTGAAGATTTTCATCACTTAAAATCAATTGTTAGAAAATAATATTAATTTGTTTGCTATGATCAAAACATTAAGGATAAAGTCAACCATATATCAAACAATGTTCCCCTTTTTTTATTATGACAAATAAGATAATTTGTAAAGTAAGATTGAACAATTGATAAAGAATATAAATCTTAAATTTTGCATGTAATCCATATAATCCCCTATCTTTTACAAATCAATAACCATTCATTCAAACATATCATCTATTTCAATTCAAACATGCCATCAATCTCATTTTCAAAGCAATTATCATCACCATTTTGCCCCTTTCCAATGCCTTTCAAATCTATCTTATTCGATTTTCCCCTTTTGGCATAAGCAAAAAGGGCTAACATATGAGGGCAAGAGTATGACATATAAGATCAAAACTTTAAATCAACTATAGTAATATTCCCCTCAATTAGGTACAAAATGTCGAATATATGCAAGTTTAAATAAGAGGATAATCTTTACATTTATAACAAAATACTAATCAAAGCATGAGTGATGAAATGTCGAAAGCACAATCAATTGGTGTAATACCCCAGACTAAGAAAGC